TCAGCCAATAAATGTGATTCTGTATTTGATTAGGCAGCAGAAAAGCTTAAGCTTTAACATTATACAGTATAAAAATTAGAAAACACAAAATAAAAACAAAAATAGCAAATCATTCATGTGATTATTATATCACATAAATAAATGACTAAAAGATGACTCCAAAATGTTTATGGTGTTTGAATTAACCAGTAAAGTCACTGTGTACGACACTGTAGACACAATTACAGTGCAGTATATGTTATAGTGATATTAGCTGTATAATTATCTTGTATTATAGTTTCTGAGTTTGAGAAGCGATTTGGATAATTACCATTAGACAAGTCCAGTTGTCTTTATGCATTTCTAAATAACATTGTTCCATGTGTACAGTAGCAGTTTTTTTTTCTCTGTGGCTGTTGTACACTTCTAATACAATTTTTTGTAGTCAGTTTATTTCAAGGTAACTGATGTTACTGTTGCTACAAGCGTGAACAACATCACTTCCTTTGCATCACAGCAGTTTCTCTAGAAAGACCAAACTCCCTACCTGTTGCTGGGGCCACTTAACTTTGCGGTGATCTCCAGGGTCAGAATCTAAATGCTTGTGCGCAGTGTTTTATTTTTTTCTTTTGTGCCATTGTCTGACTGGCTAAGATGCTCGATCTTTGTGTATAATTATCCACATCATTATCTACCGGTCTGCTTACAGTGGCTTGGGAAGGGAGAGCAGCTGCATAAATGTAACAACTAAATCAGAATTCAGTGAAGACTTATATAGATTTTAAATTAGGTGAAAAGTGACAAACAAATGTTTGTGTTTTGTTCAATGTGGATGATATCTGCCTCATGGAGACCAAATCTAGCTATTGCAAAGGTTTTCATGAATTACATATATGGGTTTATGGACTATTGTTGAACTCTGTCACACTTTATATCCATCTCTTCATCAGTCCTTCTATTTCAGTCTTTCTGACTGTACCATCATATTACTGTTGTCCTTTTTGGTATTTCATTATAGAGCTCACAGAAGCACTGATGAGATATCCCTTTTAAGCTAAATCAAATGTCATTTCTATTGACATAAACTTATTGGGTTGATGTTGATTTT